AGTCACAACTTTAGATTATTATCATACGCGCCGTATAAATATAGAGAATAATGATATAAAATAGAAAATCAATATAATACATTTCGTGTCAAAATTTTCATAATTTATATAATAAATTAACGACTCACCCTCGGTCCGCTCGAGTTCGACCCTACTTACGTTTTAATGTTAAGTATAGATTTCTCAGAGATGAGATATTTTCCCGCAGTAAAAAGTATCCTATATGTTGACCCGGATAACCCAGCTATCCATTATACTAAATTTCATCAAAATCCCTTCAGTGATTTTTCCGTGATGCGATCATAGACAGACAGACAAAAAATCTAAAAAGTATAGATTCGGCCTCTATAATAATGTCTATTTCAATAAGATTTTCCAAAAAATAATTAATGTAGAGATTCGGCTTAGCTACAATTTTTTATATGTATGCTTCCATAATAGGAGCAATACACACATTAAGATATGTGTACTTAATTTTGAAGAGAGTATTTTTCACCGGATCTTCTGCCGTATATAATATGTACAATGCACATATATACAAGCCACTAGATCACCGAAGCAATTATATAAGGAATATTTTAAATAAAATATTCCTTATATAAAAGATTTTATTCAATTTAAGACCGATAAAATGATATTTCTTTAAATTCAAGAACAAATTACTTGTACTCATATAACTACTTCTTCTTCTATGTATATCTAATATCGATTTGATAACTATATGGGTAATAGGTATTACACAGTATAAAATGAAGTTGCTTCTACTATTTGTTCGCTTAGATCTTTTAAACTCCTCAACGGATTTTAATGCAATTTTCAGCAATAGATAGAGTGATTCAAGAGGAAGGTTTATATGTATCATACATGCTAATTATAGTAAAGAAAAACCGAGAAATTTAAAGATTTGTATTTCATACTAACCGTTAAAACGTACCTAGGGACGAACACGAGCGGAGCGAGGGTGAGTCGCTAGTTTTTTTATATTTTAATATTTTGATCATACAATGTTTTGCTGAATAAAATATGTTTTAAGTTCGCTACGGAAAGAATATTTATATCTTGTAAAAACATGGTACGAGTACATTGCCACCGTAGACAATATCTTGTGTTTTATTTTAGACATACATACTTGCCTATTTAGAGTTTTGGCTCAAAAATGTAGAGTGTGGGATTTGTTCTCTTTAGACTAATCTGTATCAAAGCAGAAAGTCATTAATTCATTTTTCTATGCGAAAAATATACAAATATGACATATATTTGGCAATAAAAATATTTTTCGCAGTTTAGGCGTATGCACAGGTGTTTTGTACGACCGACCGTCAGAGGAACGCACTGAGGGCCGTGTTACGTTACTGGAAAGAATCTTCAAATTAATTTCATCCATCTTCACGTATTCTAAACTCTCTTCTAGTTTTATGAGATTATCTTATAGATATAAGAGGATGTATTATTTCGTTTCCCCATTTTCGCCATTATAGGTAGATTGTTTACCGTATAGTGTAGTAAATAGCGCGCTTCGTTTTTACTAAGAACAAACACCACTTTCGACTCGATATCGTATTCGCGACTTTCGACGCATTTCCTAAAAATATTAGCATTCAGACACATTTTGCAAATAAACTAATGTAAGCCCTCAGTTTAATGATAAAATTAAGTAGAGGTTAGTCGAATGTTAACTTTACCGACGTGCATAAAATATACAAGGTTAAAACATTTACCGGTTGGTTGTATTCCGCATAGGATAAGACAATTTTGTTTGATATACTCGTATATAGTAAAATCACAACTACATAAGTTACTAATGCTTCTGATTTATAATACAGAGAGCGTTTTTTAACTTGCTTCATTGAACAAAAGTTAATTATATTATTATTATGCAATCTTTATATTTAAATAACTTTTATACTATTACTAGCAGAACCCACGGCTTCGCTCGCACTAAAACTACAAAAAAATACTCTAAAAGGGTAGTTTCATACAAATTGATCCCCAATTTTACTCCCTTATCGGATAAATTTCGAAAAATGCTAAAACACGTATTTAATTTTATTGAAGAGCATTAGTACCAAGTTTCAAGTAATTCTGTTCATAAATATTTTTGGATTCTGTTATAACGTGTTTTCCCGTGTGAATTAGATAATCTCCCGCGGTAAAAACTAGCCTATGTCACTCTCCAGCCCTCCAACTATCTCCACACAAAAAATGACGCCAATCTGTTACTCCGTTTCGACGTGAAAAAAGGACAAACAAACAAACAAACAAACAAACAAACACACTTTCACATTTATAATATTAGTATGGATTACAAGATATTCGACATTCCGCGAACTTGCCATTTGTAGAACACAAATAACAGTGACAATAAGTAGGCACACCTCAAAGGGAAAACCTGTTTTAATTTAAACCTCTTACCATCTTGTTTTACAGTCAATCGCCGATTTCCTATTTATTATAACTATTAAAAAGAGAAAAAAAAATGTTTTTTTTGTAATGGATAAACTAAAAATCCGCTGAACCGATTTAGATGAAATTTGGTAAGATAGTTAAGAGACTTTGGGAAGGACATAGGCTTGTTTTTATTCCGGAATTCATCCCTTAAGAGGGTGACTAAGGGGATGAAAGTTTGTATGGGGAGACAATCATTTCTCAAGTAAGTATATATATAGTAATATATAATCTATCTATTCCATACTAACCGTTAAAACATACCGACGGACAAACCCGAGCGAATCTAAGGTGAGTCGCTAGTTTACTATAAACGAATTAATTAGTATTTATGTTGACTCTGATTTCTGATGAACTAAAGAGTAAAACACGTTTGGTTCATTTAATTACTACTTATAATTATAGTACATTAAATCATTATAAATTATGTCATCTGCTACTCTACTGTTCATTTCAATGTTTTAGATGATTAAATACAAAAATATATTTATTGACAAAAAATAATCTAAAAGCCCTTTGTGTAAATTTAATCAATTCATAATATATACTTATTTTAAAAAATATTATGTAAAAATATGTAGTATTTAAATGATGTAATATTTGTTTCATAATTAAATAACAGTTTGAAGACTAATATAGTATTTCAAAGGAAAAAATTATTTTTAGTAAAATTAAAAGAATATTTATTTTATTTCGTGGGATTTCCCAATGACATGATGACACCTACTGCAAACTGCCGCAGTGTCAGAGATCTGACACTCAGCCAAATTCCCGATAGATATTAAATAATAAATGAAATTTCGTTTTACTATGTGTCTGTTCGGTGCCAAAAATATACGCTAACTTCATACTAGATTTAATTTAACTTGGCATTTTATTTATGTTGTCTTTGTATTTATGTATTTATGTTACGTAATCCATATGAGTACTAAAATTAATAGAAGATTGCCGTCAACTTATTTAATTAATAAAAACAGTCCGAGTACAGTGTGTCCGCTCAGGTTCATCCCTACGTTTTAAGGTTTATTTCTCACAGATAAGAAAGTTTCCCGCAGTAAAAACTATCCTAAATGTTGACCCGTATAACCAGTTATCATTATACCAAATTTCATCAAAATCTGTCCAGTGAGTTTCTCGTGATGCGTTCCCAGATAGACAGACGAAAATTCCAAAGTCTATAGATTTGGCATCTGTATCGATAATAATGACTATTTCAATAAGATTTTCCAAACAATATTTAATGTACAGATTCAACTCAGTCAAAAAAAATTGTTATGTATAGATTATACCTATATATATACCTATAAGCTATGTATGTATATTTTTTGCAATATATGTTCATTACAATTACGGAATGTTACTGCTATTTTATTATTGTCTGATTTACTAAGAGAGAACATTCGTTGATTTAGAATTTTTAGACAAAGTGGTAAAAACTAGTAAATATATGGTAAATAATTTAATACAATCGTCACGTTTCAATTGTACTCAAAAACGAGCCAGTTTTTGCATCGAAATGTAAATAAAGTGCTAAATTTTTTGTCGCGATTTATATGAAATATGTATTAAATTTAAAAACTCTTTGTTTTAATTTTATAATAGTATGATAAATAACCCACTGAATGTGCGAAAAAGGCAACTACCAGAGATGAGTGGAGGCGACTTGTCAAGTCGGTTACAACACCAAAATGATGACCACAACCAGTCTGTCAAGACCGAAACAACTAAGAAGATGGTAATCCACATAACAAAAAAAGGGTAAATAAATACTAAATAATTGACGTATTTTCTTATTCTTTATTGAGGTATTTTATTTTTTATTCAAATTGCTATATAAATTGAAGCTATCGTCTAGTTCCTTATTTTGTTTGCTTAAGATAAGACAAACAATATAACATTTAAAAAACCAAAATATTTTTAATTATTGGGTATTATTTTAGAATGACATACAAACAGTAATTGTTTTGCAATTACGTGAGCGATAAGGAAAATAATTATGTAAAATTGCTACTACCAAACAAAAAGTGGTGTAGAGAAGTACATATGTAGGTATATAGAGTTGGGCCTATAGACAATTGCGATTGCGATTAAAATTTTCAAAGTCAATTTTTTTTTAAATATCCCTGAGTTATTGTAACGTACCCAGGAAGTTTTTTTTTAATTTCGGAAACCTGGATTTTTAGCCAATATGTGATGATATAAATCACACGGGTCATTGTTTAAAACCAGTTACATTTCGTACACGGCAGAGACCGCTGACAATGCACATATAATTACTATAAAATATAAATATATACTATAATGTTTACCAATTCAATCCATTCGTTTCTCTTAATTTATTTCCAAGGCAGCTGACTATTAATAGTAAAGGAAGCGCTTGTTGTTCGATAGTAAGTGAGGTTGATTGATAACGATAAGGAAAACAAATGTGTCGCTGCATACCCATTAATAAACGATCAGTTTCGAAACGTTGGACGGTTTTAGTCACGGTCGCGGGGAGTCGACAACCGATATGCGAAACTGTAGGCACGCGACATTACTATGCGAGCACTTACCGGCTTCTCATGTTTGTACGGGAGACCTTCAGTCATTTTCTAAGATGTGATAAAATCGCCGATCCTCGTGCGGTGACGGCTGACATCTGTAAAAGATGGACGAGGTCATTGGTCGTCAACAGATAAGGAACTCACTGGTCACGGATAAACACTCACTTGTGGTTTGTTGGTAGCAGGCAAAGATGCATTAGGCTGTGGGATTTCCGCGGCAAATCAAACGCGCATGTCGGAGATACGTCGTCCGAGCGCGTTTATCACTAACTGAATGGGTGAATAATTTAAAAGAGTACGGTCACTTGGTAGTGACGTCTAGGCCTCGCCGTTCCCTCCGTCCTCTTGCCCTCCCTGAGTGACGTGAGAACACGTTCCGTTTTACTGTACTCGCTTCCGTTTTACTATTACCACAGTCTCACAGATGACATAATACTATACTTATTATTACCAATACATATTTTATTACACATATGTACAATGTAAATAATATGTATGTATTTGTACATATTAAAGATTCGATATTTTGGAAGTCTTTTTTTTTACGTTGGGACATTAACACACAGCGCCATCTAGTTCCACGGTAAGCTACGAGGCTTGTGTTATGGATACTAGATAGTTGATACATTACACATATAATATAACTTTAAATACATACATATTATAAATATTATATTATAAATATTCTTGTACGGAGGGAATAAATTTCCGTTTTTATATATATACGTTTTTACTTCTTATGAATTATTATTAATTATATAGAACGTATAATATGAGAAACCACTTTAACATGTAAATAGAAGATGTTTTGAGTAAATTAAAAATTGAGAACACGGAATTTAATTTTATTTATATGTTATTTCTTTTTAAGTACCGACGCAAACAGGTAGGTGTGAAACGTTTAACGTGTGGTTTGTATAGTATATGCTATCATAGCTCCCGAACGGATGAACCGATTTTGATTTAGTTTTGTTTTGTTTGAAAGGTGTCTTGATCAATAATGTTAACCAAAAATATAGAGAAATTAAAATTAGTAGTATCCTGAATATATTATTCTATTTAAAGGATAATGAATATTATAAATGTGAATTAGTTTCTTTGGTGAAAATGAAACGGGTTTTTATAATTTAAAAATACATTTAAGGTTTTTTAGGGTTGGGTTTTTTTATCACTGATGAAAGAATTCAATAATGAACGCAACCTGTTTATAATTTCCAAATGTCTATTTTAAAACATTAGACGTTTAAAACGAAAACTCTAACTGTATAAAACGAAATTATCACTCAAGTTTATTCTTTGTGCTATTCTGTAAGAGAACAGAACTAACAGAAAATTCATATAACATTAAACCCGTAGTAGCTACTTTTTTGTTTATACATACATATAATGTCAAATAATATATTAATAATAATATTTTACTAACACAAAATGATGTTTAAGCTATTTAAATTTATAAATGAGAAGGATCATTTTAAATTTCATGTGCCTGCATATGTCACTGTTCTTTGATATTGCTCAATTTAAACAGTAGGCGGTAGATATTAAAGACGGTTGCTATCTAGTAAATTAAAAAAAAAACAACTACATCACATTCTTTTGTATTATGTTTTTACGTTAGATACTCATATAAATTTTTATCACCAATCGTATCGAATTGTAGTCCCACCGGAGTATGAGAATGTTAGGAATGGAGGACGCCTAAGGTGTGTGTAGGTACATACATCTACTTGTGCAATATGTCTTTGCGCTAGTCTTTAGTGTTAGTTGTAATGGGACATTTTAATCGTAGTGGCGACTAGTGGGCTTATTAATTATTTTTACTACTATTTAATAAAGATCTGGAGTCGATCTGATGATGGAGTCGAAAGACAGTCGAGGGAACTCCTCAACTATTTACACTAATTACCTGGTGTTTGGGCTTGATTAATTTGTATTGATAAGAACTTTACACCTAGATGAGTTGTAATTGTCATTAGGGGTCTGAATAAATGGCTTAATCGAATATGTTTTTATAAATCTTTCTTCTTACAAATGACCTGCTTATTACGTCTACTCTAAAATGGATAAATAAAAACTTAAAAAAAATAATATAAACCGACTTCCAGGCCCTGAAAAGTAAAAAATAACTAAACGGGGGTTTTCATTTTTTTCAATTGAGTAAGTCTAAGACCCACAGACATACATAAGTACGTACCTTTTTTTGAGCATTTTTATATTTTGTTGTTATTTTTATTTTATTTGAGAGCATTCGTGCGTGTGCGGGGTTTTCCTTTAGAATAGATACCTAATCAGATATTTTTGAAGTCGGTGCCAACCAATACAAATCAAAGCACACCGACTTCGAAAATATCTGATTAGGTATCTATTCTAAATGAAAACACTCGTTTAGTTGTTTTTTACTTTTCAGTGCCTGAAAGTTGGTTTTTTTTAAGTTTTTACTTTTACAAAATGAGATGAAAATATTTCACAAAATTAACATAATTTCGTATACTTAGTAGTCGATAAAACAATGCCGTACATCTAATTACATCACCTATGTAAATTCAACTATATATGAAATTAGTGTCGCGAATGTAGTGTTGTAATTTTTTTGTATTTTTGAGGATTGCACGACACTAAGTATTATTATAACAAGTTTCATGGCCAAGGTAGCTAGGTATTTCCCAAAAAAATAATTCATAATGCATAAAGACAGTTGCGTAATTTTAATTGGAATTCAAATCTAAGGCATGGACGATGCAGCGATCAAAGCTTTTCATAAAATATCGAGATCTCTGATAAGAAAATCGGTTCATAAGTGTTGCTTGTTTGTATATATTATCTGATGATATCATATCTCATTTGAATGGTTTTATTTTTATGGTGTTCCGTATCAATTAATAAAAAATATAAACTAAAATTGGAAAATATTATAACGTTTTATCAGTGCTTTTTTCAGATATTACTTTAATACCTTCTTAGATTTACGTGAATATTTGATATTTTTAAATAAAACTATCTTTTCGGATTTTTCGCAGGCTTATTGCTGTATAGCATTCGAAACGACGGGAACCAAAAATCTATATAAATTCGCTAAAAAAATCCGTAAAGATAGTTTTATTTAAAACATTACTTTAAATTAAAAAAAATGTTAAAAAAGTCATGAGGAAAATTTTGTAACTCTTAATGGAGCGACGCAAGATCACTTCGCACTCAACCACGACGCACCGATCGCTGGCCTGCCGGCAGACCACAACAACCACAGGGTTGCTCCAACGGTAGACCTTTAGAGCATCCAACCAGGTACTTCCATGATAGCAGAATAGATTCTGCTATCATGGAAGTACCTGGAGCAACTCGCATGTTATACCACTCATATCGAGTGGGATTGTCGAAGGCTAATGTGTCGTTATTCATACTGACTGGAAAAAGTGATATTATATACTTAAGCAGTTTTACTCACATTGCCCATTCGGTACGAGCATTATGTATACAGACGGTTCATTATTCATAGCAACCGGACTTCTCAAGTTGCCCGTAATACTATATCTACCCTATAATACTCGCGTTATCAAGACAAATCTTACGGACGTATAATTCATCGAACCACCACCTCGAGAGGAACCATTATAGAAACTTATCTGATATTCAATTGTGCTGAAATTCTGCATATATAACTAACTTCAGTGACATGACACGTAGTACAACAATATGGTACCATAAAAATAATATGATAATGAAGTGGTGGGGAAGTAAATGAGTTTTAAAAAGAACGTGCATATTTTCTTTAGAATGTAATCAGATTTGCGTTATTTATAGTGATAAGATATCGATAAAATATGAAGGTAAATATAAGGCCTCAGGTCCAAGAGCAAAAATTGTAATGTGTATAGTAAATATGAATTATTGACATTATGACAGCTAACAGCTAACTTACGGCCGCTGGCACAGCAAGTACCTAAGTGGTCACTACAAACTGAGCCAAACGCGTCGTCAAATTATGAATAATATAATTTACACACAAATGTTTATGTAAAAGAAATTGATAATGTATATTGTTATAATCAAAAACACAAGAACATTCAGTTTAATAAACACACCATTGAGATTAATTCAGAACTTTACAGCAGTTAAATTATGATATTCTCTCTGATTCTTGGTTGTAAAATCATTTCTGCATATTTACTATAATTCGTTTTTTCGTAATGTTATGTATATTGGTTCATTCACGTACAAATTTTGGTTGAAAGGGGGTCGATAGGAAAAAAAGGTCGAAAAAAAGGTTTGATGTAACTAGTTTTAGATACATTCAAAATATATAAAAAACGTAACGATCTGTTATGAATATACTAAATATAGAAAATATAGAAAAGCACAAACATATCTAGCCCACGGGAACCGTTCATTTTTCCAAAAAGTAACCTGTTGTTTGACCGGCAATATGCCAATCAGCATGCCAAATTTTACTAAATTAGTGCATAAGTTGTTGTGTACTAAGCTGTATAAGTTACTATAGTTCTTTAACTAACCCACGGAAACTCTTTAATTTTCTGGAATAAAAAGTATCTTAGATGTTGACCGGGGATATAAGGTACTACCATGCAAAATTTCTTTTAAATCGGTTCAATAGTTTCGGAGATTAGACCGTACAAACAGACAAACAGACAGAGAAACAAAAAAATTGAAACAAAAACTGGATTTGTTCTATTTCTCTTCTTTCGGGATGTAAGAAGAGAACTGACTCGGTTTTTAGCATTTTTTTCTAACCTCTACAGTTTTATTTTATTGTATAGATTAACCTGTCATCGACTGCCGAGCCACAGGTGTTTCAGTTAACAATTAATTTCTTAGAACTTAACCGCGAGGTTTGAGCGAGGTTTTGGCCGGCATACACACTTTTACAATTACACTTGCAGGTAAATTTAGCTCCACCAGCTATGCAGGAAATTCACCTATGAAAGTTAGAAACTTAATGGATATTAACACTGTCTTATTTATATATTTTAGTTATTTTCATAGTATTTTATTTTATGGAATACTTTGGGGCAGTACCGCAGAAATGAATT